AATATATATATATATATATATATATATATATATATATATATATATATATATATTTGCGTTAAAGTTTTTGATGTTTTCAGAGATACTAAGCCTCTACTATTACACTTCACGTTTGAAATCCGAAATTTAGATATAGCTATATAGGAAAATTATGGTATTTACTAAGTATGTCAATTTTTATGAAAGTAATATAACAGTATTTAATGAGATAAAACCGCGTTTGCTTTTCGTTTAAATTTTCAGCATGTGTATAAATCACCAAGACCTGCAAAACATATTGTTTAAATTTAAGCTTTCCTAAAAAATATTTGAGTTTTCCATCTCTTCTGTCATTCCAATTGATTATAATATTTGAAAAAATAGTGTTTAGACATTGACTAGTAAACTAGTCCCTACATTTAAAAAAGAAATTCAGTTCACTTTGTTTAATTTGTAAAATGTTAATCCACTGTATCGTCGTCTAACATTCATTAGATATGTATTTGAACAATATACCTGATTCTTCGATGGAAAGCCGCGCCATCAGCCACTCGACGAGATCGTAACCTGTAACAAACAGCCAGCCTCATGTAATATCCTGGTCATGATAGTCGCTTATGTTCACACCACGGCACAGCTGCCGATGATACCCACCCATGAAAGCTGAAGGGATTGAGCTAAGAAATTGTTTTTGGCTGCCCACGGGTACCCCCACGGGTACAGGGTATTGCATCTCCCGCACCAGCCCCTCCATCTAGAATTAATTTCCTTAATTAATTGGTCTTATTCTGTAATACAGCGCCACTAAAAATTAAGAATAAATAGTTTTAGCAGCAATAAGAATATTCTTAATTTTAAGAGAATTTTTCGTTATTTTTATACACGTTGAAATAGAAGGTGTTTCGTAGTATTAAATACATCGTTTTGGCAGTGAATTCCGCACATAAAAATGTTAAAAAAAGTTCTTCTAAGCAAATGTCCTATTTGACTTTGATTTTGAGTTCCAGTGTTTTATGTTGATACAAATCTACCGAATTATGACAATGGTTCAACTAATTATTATTATTAACATCTCGAAATTCGCCTGAAATTAATTTAAGTGAATCTTTTAAAGCTAGATAAAAACAAATTGTTAACAATAATTCTCAATACATCGTTAATTACATAAATGTCTTTGCTTTCTGGTGGTTTACAGCTGATCAGAAGATAGGGCAGAAATTATGCAATAACTTAATATTTATCAATGAATCTCCAAAACGCATTGTTGAAATTTTTGTTTCAAGCACAGATAAAAAACAGTTGACAAATCTTATTCTTTTTGTCGTTCTAACCAATTGTTTTTTAAATATATCTAGTGCTTTTAATATATTAGAAAAATTGAAATCGTTTGGTCCAAATTTGAAAAAGTTACTTCATTTTAAAGAAATATACACACGCATTTGTCAAATACCGCATGTATTACATATTAACTTTCGAAATATTTTCTCTGATTTTAAAAGAATTTCTCTCATCAAATAATTTTACAAAAATGTAGATTATAATCTACAATAATCATGCTACATGAACGATTAAAAAAAGGTTATGTCATAACATCTGCATAAGTCTAATAATTGCAATTCAGAACGCAGACAAATTTGCTTTTTCTTTTAAAACGTATTCCTTTGCGAAGTTCAGGCGCTTTTTATTTAATGTATTTACAAAGGGTTCCTTTCGAGCTAGGCAACCATCGTGCTTCTTTAATTGTTCTCCGAACAGTTCGTGAATTTACGTCTCTGCCACACTCCTGGTATATTTCCGCTGTTAATTGGGGTGCACTTGCTCGAGGATTTTCCTTAATTTTCCTACAAATCTACTTCTCTTCTCTAGAATTCTCAGAACTGGTAAATGCTCCTTTCTAGCTTAAACTCGCAGCGATTCTCTTTTTCATAGCTCACAATTAGACTGTGAATTTTTATGCTAATTCCCATTTTCGTAAGTTATTTATGCAAATTCTCATTTTCATAAGTTATCTTGTGAAAATTAGTATGAAGAGAAAATATCTTCCATCAACCAATAGATTCCTCATTCTAATAATAAAATTAAAATTCCACTAATTTTTATTGATTTATACGTCTACTGGTATGTTAGGAATCTGCATATAAAATAAGTGCATAAACATCTGCAGTCTACTTATGATTATATTATATCCTACTACACTTTTCTTCATAGTTCATAAATTTGCTACTTCGTGATTTCAGCTTTATTCTTTTGTACAATTATAAATTACTAACTGACGTTCATCAAAATTTGTTTTGTGGCATTTAAAAACAACGACTTTCTATATCGTTTTCATTTTCAGCTTACAGCATCTACTGCTAGAATAAATTAACACCTTATCTACGGATGACGTAATCTGGTATCAAATTAAATGAACTTTTTTCTTTTACAGATGAGTCAAAGTAGATACTATTTTTGATTATAGTATTATTGTTTTCTTCACATCTTAATAATTATATATTTAACATTATTATGTAATTATAAATTAATACAATACAGAAATTGTTGCGTAACGTGATTGCAAGTAACGCCCGCGGATTTGCTTTTAAATCCACCAGGGATTCTAAATCCCCGGCTGATCGTCGCGAAACACGCCTTAATTCACGTTTATTGAATCAAGATCACGATTATGGCCCGCCAAATTAATCTTGGGCAATTAGATCAAGTAATGGAGCAAAGTGGTTCCGCGTTGAATTAATTTTGTAGACGAATTAATCATGACAAATTTTAACGGTCTACCGGACTTGAAATTTAGAAAAACATCAGAAAATCGAAGCGGATTTTATGAAATAAAAATACGTCAAGATGCGCGATACTAAATACTCTACCTTCTTTCATCTGGAAGAGCCTAACCTTTGGTATATTGAGGTGGAAACTCACCATGGGATTGCAATGTTTAATTATCGTATAATTATATTTTGTTTTAAATTTCCAAGAAAAAGTTATTAAGTATTTAGAAAAATAGATTTTTAAATATTACAACTGTATTGTTAATGTTGTTTTAACCCTCGTTAATGAAATAATAGTTTATAAATTGATAAAAAATTCAAAATTAATGTTCAAATAAATTTAGGCTCAAAGAAATTTTCATGTTATATAATAGTATAATTTCCTTTCACCCTGTGCTGTTTTTACAAACATATATCTAGTTTTCAAAACAGATAGAATTCGTTTTCCACTGATGCATAATCCAATTTGACAGAATTCATGCTTATTATAATTCTCTTTTGATATCTACAAAGTGAAATCCATTTTTTTACTATGACTTCTCATTTGTTGCCCATTGAAGAGTTCTTTAGCTATTAAAATCAAAAATTGTTCTTCGTATAGTGCTTTTTTATCTAGTTTTATACTGCACTTTGCATTTACATCAACAATGTAATAAATTATTACCAATAACATAATGTATTGGAACACTTATTATGATGAATATTTCAGGAAGAACACATTTCTTTGTGACAATTAAATAAGTCAGTTAGGTGTGTTTTATAATAAGTCATTATAAATTAGCATTGATGTATATTCCTTGTGTTTTTCAAAAAATGACACTGACTTATTCTTAATAGAGAAATAGAAAAAAATGTTACACAATAAAATTGATCAATTGCTTTACTACGATGTTGCGAATAAATATTGCACACACAAAATATCTAAATCGGATCTTTCTAATTACAGAACGCTTTCGCGATAAGCATTTTCAGGGTGATCGGCAGCTGGTAGACAGTAGATTGAACCACTAACTATAAATTAGGAAATGTTCATTGTAGTAAATGAGCACCTGATTAAGCGAACGAAGTTCAGTGAGGCGGCAACTGAAACATTCTCCCAACCGTCTTAACTTTCCTAATTGTCTTAACGAGTATTCCTCTTTACTATTTGCTGTATTTTGTGGAACTGTACTACGATTTACACGTTACCCTATATACCGGTAAAGTTCGAAGTTTATCCCGAGTGAGATACGGTACAGCAGAGACGTTAGATCCATTGCTACAGTTAGCGTTTTAGATCGACTTTTCGGAAAAATCAAAATTCGATTACTAAATATATTTTCGTGAATTATCTCTAAAATTAAAGCCGAATGGCGGGCACACGTGACGAAAAAAGTTATTCAAAATAATGTCTGACGAAATATTTCGTCATACCACAACTCTAGGAAAACAACTCCAACTGGAATGACGACTTTTTTCGTCATAGAAATTTTTTCAAACAGTGTGTATGCCTCACTGCTTCAAGAAATATTATAACGCGAAATAATTATTTCAATTTGTTTCATTAATTCTTTATACATTAGAAGTATTTGATTCATATATTTTCTAAATATATCATAAGATATTTTGAATAAAATTGCTTAAAGTAATACTTTAAGCGTGATTATATAACTTCTCACTGCGAAGAAAAAAGTCCCCATTGTGAAACGAGTTGAACAAAAGCGAATTCCCCAGTTAATTCTCGGACGGCGGATCATTTTCACAACTGTACTATCAACGATGCTTAAACAAATCCGAGCTTTATTCAGTTTTATTCAATTTTTCAAAACATACTTTTGAAGTTACTTCTTGCAGACTTATTAGCTTTTCTGTTGTTAGTTAATTATTTAGTTAGTTAATTTCCGAAAATTGAGTGATTAAGTGAACGATTTAAATACTCTCTCTAGGTCAAAATAACCCGACAACCGCAGTGAGGGGGTTAACGGGTTAAATAGTATTAGTTTACCTTATCGAAGGCGCAAGGCCTATGAACACGTGGCTCCTTCTCCTTCTGTTGTTGATTGCTAGAGGCCTCCATCGCAATCGTGGCGGCCCTCTGCGACGCTGGCAGGAGCAGTGGTGATATTGATGGCGGAGGGGGCTGGGGAGCTGGGCCGGAGACGGGTCTACCCGAACTCCATGGGGCTCTGGCCCCATCCCATCACTCCAGTCACCCCCGCACGCCCACTGAAAAACATTAGAAAAATCATTGGTTAATACAGCGACGTGCAATATAGCTGTTTTAATTTTTCTTCCAAAAGAAATATCTTAAGAAATTTTTTTAATATCATATACAGGGGTATATTATATGAAAAGGTACTCCAAAAAACATCAACGTTATTTATTCTTCATATGCGTTTATGTGAAGAATAACTTAATTAACTAAAAATTTTCTGGCCAGTGTGTTTAACTAAAAAATAATGCTTGTTTTCCATTTGCGGTACACTATTTAGCATATTACAATCAATATATAAATTATAGTCATGCCTTTAGCAGTAATAATAGCAACACAGCAACGAGGCATGGATTCAATTAATCTAGTAATGTAGTTGTATGATATCTTATTCCATTCTTCCATTAAATTTTGAAAATATTATTGAAACTTCTATGATTTCTCATTCAACGTTTCATCTCTCCCTAAAGATGTTCTTTTGGATTTTAATCATAAATATTTGAACATCTTTTCAAACGGAATGATTTCTTTAAAATTGAAAAACACAATTTTTTATTTCTTTTCTGCAGTTTCAACCAATTGCAATTTTTGGAAAAATTGTCTAGTAGACTGGTCCCTCTAATTTCATCGAAACGCCGAAAATTGTGAAAAATTGTGGTCTTCGCAGTCTTTAATTGTTTATGAAACAACGCTAATCAATTTTGATGAAATTTTCAACATGCACATAAATTACCGCGACTTACAAAACGCATTCTTTAAATTTTCATTCTGGTCTCGAATAAAAAAGAACGCAGGTTTTCTACTTTTTTTGCCATTTCAACCAATTGTAGTTTTTGTAAACAATTTTTAAATATTCTCTAGTAAGCTACTAGACTCTCTGATATCTCAAAAAATTCAGATAAAAGGTTAAAAAGCGTGAGTTTTTCTATTCTTTTGTACATTTCAAGTAATTGCAATTTTTGTACTTTTTTCGTGTAGAAATTATACTCGTCGCGAAGCTTTCTCGCTTGGGAAATAGAACATTCAAATTACACGAGATAAATAATTGACAAATATTAATTCACGATATGTAACAAAATATTTTAATATTTTAATCTCATTATGTGATAGCTAATGCGAGAGGAGTTCAATGACACTATGACCTTGAAATGACCAAACTTAAAATGCATAGAACACCATTTTAAGTAATACGCAGAGAAGACTCGTTGTTAGCCAGTATCGTAAGGCGTTGGCTGTCGCGAAAAAACGACCCCTCTATTTACACACATTGTTATTATTGACCAGATCGGTTACAAGTTTATCGCGTGACGAAGAACACGAAGGAAACGCGTCGAGATGGAGTAAGATAGGAGAACAGTGAACGAGTAGTTAAATACATTAACGTGAACGTAACATTAAGTGTTAACAAGCCAAAAAAATTGCACCATAATATTGTAACTGCATATAATTTTAATTTCTTATCATTTTATACATTCATAGCACTGAGAAACTGCGTAGATAAAAAGAAATTTAATTTGAATGATTGTGATAGTATTAATTTATTATTGTAATTTTATAAAACAGTAAATACATATTTGAGAAAACAAGGTCAGAGAATATTGTTAAGAATTGAACAAAAATTAATGTATGCAAAATATTAATTTTATGAAATGGATGTAATAAAACTGTTGAATGGATAAATAAAACTGTTTAATAAATGAAAACTGTTGCTTTTTGGTAGAAGTTAAACAAATCGAGCAATTTCTTTCTCGTCTCTCTTTGCCTCCGATCAACTTTGTTTATAGCTATCCGATCAACAAGTGATCTCTGCACAGTGCACAGCTTTAAACATGATCTCCAGATAATTTTCAACCCCAAATATTGAACCAAAAATCAGTCAGCTAAGTGTCAGAATAAAATTGTCATTTTTTAATAGTCATTCTTCATTCTTTGTATTACATTGTTGTCCATAGATTTATAATATTGACTTATAAAACTTTGGAAATATGTATTACAAACGTTTAACATTAGAGCGCGTGGTTTAATTTTTCTTGGCTTATGAAGATTTATGGTGCACACTCTCTTCAATAGGCTATAATGGGTAAAAGGCAATATAATAAGATTCATAAAATCAATTTTTAATAGTTACATTGCTTTCTCAATCATAAATTATCAATATTAGATGATTTAATGAAGAACAAACAATACCAGGAGGTA